TTCTGCAGACTGTTGAGGGTTCAGCCTCCTGATGAGTCGTTGAAACTCCGGCGAAACAGTTTGTCACAGCCCCTCGTTTGTTGTCCTCTTCTCTCTCTCTGCCTACGGTTTTACCGGCCAGTTCTGTTTGTGACGATATATATATATACGAATCTCAACTTTGCACAAGCAATGCAACACACTTTTGAAGGGTCGCACACACAACAACAGTATCGTCAGCCTTTATGTATGGTTGGGCACCGGGTGCCGTCTACCAAATGATGGTAACTGTTCTTGTTGAAACGGTCCGCACGCGCCAACCTTACACTTTTTTTTTTTTTTCCTTTTTTTTTTTTACATGTCAGTGTGTCTGCCTATTGTGCTCGTAGTGTGTTTGTGACTTCGGATGGGTCTGCATGTGTAAGTGTCTGACTAAGAGCATGTGGTCGTGTCTTTTGATGCGTTCTCATATTTTTCACATACTCTATATGAAAGAATTTCATTGCACGATAATTCACCTTTTCTTCTGTCGAAAATAAGAGTGACCATCGAAATGTCACCAATGTCCTGTCGCGCGATGACAACCATAGAAGGGGACAAACATGGACAGGAAAACACAGTGTCATTTAATTTAACAGACATTATTTGCGAACTCCCCCCCACTCCGCCCCCCCACTCCCTCCCCACTTCCCCCCGCCTTCGTTGTTCATATCGAAATAAACAATAAAAGGACAAACGAAAGAGACACAAAACAATGGAAAAGACAACGGTCGACAAATTTTTGTTCTATTAATGAACACGTGGGGAGCGGAATGCGTTCGTGTCACCCAAATATATGATATATGACAAAACAAAAAAAATGTGCATGCTTCGTAGTTAATAGCGGGATTATAAATAACATAAATTGACTTCAAAAATAAATCTGTCGTACATCGCCGAAGTCCAAGGTTGGGAAGTGGGTGCTACAGACAATAGTACACGTGCATCCTGCCGCAGGACAAAAATGTTTGTACACTCTCTCTCTCTCTCTCTCTCTCTCTCTCTCTCTCTCTCTCTCTATCTATCTATCTATCTATCTATCTATCTATCTATCTATCTATCTATCCATCTATATATCTAACACACACACACACACACATATAGTACACACACACACACATACACACACACACTCACACACACACAAGTTTTATAAAAAAATAATCATTTTTTGTTTTTTTTTGTCGCGGTGGTTTTCACTGACTTTCCTTTCCTCTTGGACGCCCCCTTCCCCTTCCCACAATCCTGCTGTTGTGCGGATTCGTGCACTGCTTATTCTGTGTTTGCGACATTAGCAGTTGCTTCTTTCTCATCCGTTATGCCTTTTGTAGCTTCCACTAATTTTCCCTCGTGTTTCCCCCGAGCCATCCATTGCTGCTCCTCCCTGCCCCCTCCCCCGTCCTCTCCCTCGTCAACGTGCCATTGGTGTTCTTCCCCCCTTCCCATTTCCTCCCCTCCCTCTCTGTGCTAGCGTCGGTGTTCCCCCATTGTCTTTTCTGCTTGTGGCCTTCCGCTTCATTCCTCGTCCAATCTTCCGGTTACCATCGCTGTCTATCGTGCCGCTTGGTGGTCTGCTCTTGTCCACAACAACACATCCCGCATCTGTGTCTTCAGCTGGTCTTTTTGCAGCACATGCCACGTCCGTGTCTGCAGGCGGTCCATTTACCTCACATGCCGGTTGTATTGTGCATGCAATATGAGGTTTTGAAATGCCCCTGTTAATATCGCTGCCTGCCATGTCCTCCACCGGCCTGTACTGAATGTGATGCAGCAAACCATCTGAGTACGTCACAAAAAACGGAACAGCGAGAGGGTCTCTGAAGACCATGGACACGTCGGCCCCACACGCATAATGCATGAGACACACAACGGGTACCCATCCAAGAAGTGCTGCCCGCCCGTGTCTGCGACGAATGAGCCTCAGACAATTATGAGGTGTATCATTCAAAGATACTGTGCCCACACCATCGCCCTGCATTGACCACATATTCTCATCTTCACGCCCGTCATATCCAACCAATACCATCTGACGATCCTCCACCTTTATTTTATCCCAACACATTTTTGCATGCTCGCGTAATAATGATTTGTCGTTCACCCTAGAATTGCACAACGACACACGAGCCAGAACAACCATGAATTGCCAATGCTCAACAACACCTGAAGGCATCCAACCCATAGGTAGTCATTCGCCTGAATGCAGTCTGCCTGCAATCGTAACTTTGTTTTCGAAGATGGCAGGATGAAAGACACCGGGTACCCAATTCACATGATAACCGTACATCTCAGTCGATGAATGTTTGTTGAACTCACTCTCTGGAATAACAGTGTCGGATATGTCAATGTCACGCACCCTCTCCGGCGTTGTCATATTCGGGTCCCATATGCTAATGAACAGACCATCATAAGTGATCTCCCTGCCTCTTACATATCGCAGACAAATGTTATCCTCCCCAGAAAAAACTTTCCCCTCTATAATTGGTGACAACACCGGGTTCTCAAGCGGGATCGTGAATTGCGTCCCCGCGGCATCATCGAAGCACATAAACACTTTCTCGGACTCCAGCAGATCCCTGTCCAAACAACGAGAGATAAACTCGCCGTTTATGTAAAGTGTACTCCAACAGTTCCCCATTAGATCGCGGACTACAATCCTAATCTCCCCATAGTCACAAGGAATGGTTGACGACACCCAACCCCACCGTGCATCCCGTCTTGCATCATTATCCTCACAAACTTCATCCCCGTTTCTTCCGTCCTCAGAAACCACTCATTGATCAGTGGATTCATAACGATCATAAAAAAAATCATTAAGTCGTATCTCCCCCTTGTCTGTCAATCTCTTAGTAAGGACATTTGTGTATTTGACCAAATCCTCAACCGCTACCCCGCCGTTTATCCTTTTCACTCGGTCGAAAACAATGGCTGCCGTGATATAACGCCATGTCTCCAATTTTGGCGGACGATACTGAACCTATGTGTCACCACTCTTAAACGCGATGCAGTGTTGAGCACCGATCAACCCAGGTTGCACCTTGCCAGGTTCCCAATTGAGATCGTACTCAAATTTGTTTCCTGCTGTAGTCTTCGTGACACAGTCCCTGGGAACTGTGCAATTTTGGGAACTGTGCACATTGCAGTGTTTGATATCGTACTCAAATTCGTTTCCTCCCCTTTTTCCACGTCCACAATTGCATGCTCGCAAATGGCACCCAACAATTCCTTAGTTTCTAATTCCAAAGTGCGTCCCTGGCTCGTATCGTTTCCTATCACGCCTCTCCCTGGATTCAGATCGCACAACTTGTTAGCGCCTTCTCCATACATGATGTTCGATATCTGTTGCTGCAGGTCTTCAGTCGTACATGCAAAACTCTCACCCGCCACGGTTGTCGACACATTTGAAATGTCAATCTATAACAACAGACATGATGGACATTTGTGAGAACATGTGACGACCGACACGCTTTCATGAGAGAGAGAGAGAGAGAGAGAGAGAGAGAGAGAGAGAAAGAGAGAGAGAGAGAGAG